TTTACCCATCATAAATATAATTTAAATCTGTAGAAAGTATATATTTTTAAATTAAATAGTAAATCCTTATGGGTTATGAACTCAATTTTCATCAAGTGATGCAAGAAATTCTTCTCGTTGAAGATGACGATTTCATGTTCCAAAATTATCCCAAATTAAAAGAAGTAATTGTGCACCGCTCAATGATTCGCCATGATATTATTGATGTTTTCAAAGATCCAGAAATTCTTAAGCACAGGTTGAACATCACAGTTATAAATGCAAATGGATACCCAGAAAAAGGAGAAGGTGCAGGTGTGCTGCGTGATGTTCTGACAAATTTTTGGCATGAATTCTTTATATCACTTAGTGCAGGTGGAACTGAGAAAACGCCACACATTCGACACGATCTTCAAAAACCAGAATGGCAAGCAATTGCCAGAGTTTTAGTGTTTGGATATGAAAAAGCCAAATATTTTCCTGTGCAGCTGTCACAATTCTTCATTCTTTGCTGCTTGTTTGGTGAAGAAAGTCTGGGCAGAGAATCTCTACTGCAAGCATATCGTTGTTACGTGCCAGCAGACGATGGAGAGATTCTAGATAAAGTGCAGAGTCGTGAATTAGATCCTAACGATGAAGACCTATTGGAGTTTTTGTCATCCAATAAGTGCTATAAAGCCCCCACTAAGGAGAACATTGCCTCCATAGTACTTGAACTTGTACACCAGGAACTCATTCAAAAGCCCAGATACATCACAAATTGTTGGTCGCCAATTTTAAAAACTCTTCAGAATGATGCAAACTCCATCTTTTCAACTCCTCAGCAAGTTGAACAGTTATATGAAGAAAAACAGCCAACAGCCAAAAAGGTTAACAAGCTTTTTATTGCTAGTGTGAGTACTGATGCTGAACGGCAGAGCTTGGATTTCCTAAAAAGATATGTGAAATCATTGGAAAAGAAGGCTCTTGAAAGATTTCTGCATTTTTTAACTGGTAGTGATGTATTGACATGTGATTCAATTGAAATTACATTTACAACCCTTCATGGCTTTTCACGACGGCCTGTTGTCCACATATGTGGGCCAACCCTAGAGCTACCAACAACCTATGAATGCTTTGCAGAACTGGCAGAAGAGTTTACAAGCATAATGAGAGAAAGCACATCATGGTCATTTGACATTGTGTAAAGTTGTTTTTATTATTTTAACAATATCAAATAGTTTTGTTTAAACAGAAAGAGAACTGACAGTTTTGAAAAAAATGTTAAATTCTTGATCAATGAGCTTATTTTTGGCTTGCACCATTTTACTAAAATACATTTGTTTCATTTGTTAAACTTCGTCAACATTAATCCTTGCCTCTAAAAACCTCTCAACAATATCAACTGTCTTCAAGTAATGTTCAATGCCATTATTCCCATCATCTTAAAGAGGGTTAACTTGTTGTTGGAGGTAATCATACTGATTTTCGCTTAGTTGCATGCTTGAAACAGGTATAACAACATTGTTTCTTGTGGCAACAGGTAATGGCCCCCCATAATCAATTCCATATACATCATCATTTATTGTTGTAGGCTCATTCGGAGCTGAGCTAAAGTTTGAATGAAATAAAGCCGAGGGAGTTTGATGATTTTCTGTCCTAAGACCATGGTGATTCCACTGTGATTTGAATTCATGCAATGATGCAATTATACGCACTAGATAAAGGTAATGCAATGCCAATAGATGAATTTCATTAAGGGAGCTCAATAAACCATTGTTCTCTAAAAATCGAAATATGTCTTTGTAAAGTGCTGACATCACTCTGTTCACTTCAGCCCATAATCGTTCTAATCTTTGATTGTGCACACTTTTTCCGGCTATGAAGCTTCCCCTGTCATTGCCTCGATTTTCCATCATAAATCGTGACACATCAATATTCTCACTGCCATGATCACCTCGTACACGAGAGGGTAAGCCAAACTTCTGCACTCCACCTTGAAATAATTCAAGGACAGTGTCAGCTCCGTTATTTGTGCAACAATGCAGGTAAATAATCATTCGGCTGAATCCATCTATGCAACCATGGATTACAAATCTTTGTGCGATCAGTTTATGGTTTGAATCAATGTGCCATAAATAATTAGGACCTTTGACATTATAGACACGCCTGCAGATTGCATAACGTTTCCGAATGCTTCTACCAATTTGATCAACCCTCTGAAGACTTTCTCGAATTCTAGTGCGTTGAACATGAATACTTCTGCCCCTTAAACCACCCCTTATGTACGTTTCACCGCTGTATGGTGTTAACTGAAGAATTTGTCTAACTTCTTCATCCAAGTCGGCATCAGTAATATCTGAGAAGCTTTGCTTAATTCCAAAGTCGATTCTCCTGTGTAATGTTCTGGTAGAAATTCCAAGAAAGCTAGCAATGTTCGTCCAGTTCATTCCCGTATCACGAAGTTTCTCAACTTGTTCTTTTCTGATATTATAAGCTGGTCTACCTCCAGTACTTAAAAGCGTATCAATGGCACGCGAATTTTCATTCGTGGACAATTCCTGCTCGAGACATGTCTCAAAGGCACGCGACAGTTTCTCCAGTTCCTCCTCCATTACAGTGATCAAGTTCTCCAGCAACAAGGCAACATCATCAGAAGAGGAATCACGAGATAAGCTTGTTATTGTGTACTCTGAAACAGCTCCGAACATTGCTGCGACAATAGATATGTAGTTTTCAAACTTGTTTTTGCAATATTCGATACCTATTGGGTCTTTGTTTTGAAATACTTGAAGACTTTGGCCAAACAATCTCTGTAAACCAATAAAAAAATCTCTGAGTTCTTCAATGTCCTCGTCCACGATTGCGAGAAATTCCTGAATTCTTTCAAAGTACATCAAGTATTGCCAGAAACAGGAGTTTCTACTAAGTCCGCTGACCATTGTTACTGTTATAAATCTCGACCATCGCCTAATATTCTCGACCATCGCTTGATATTCTCGACCATTATGGCAAGCCAAACGTGACAAAAGTGTATTGAGAATTCCAACCGCTAGTCGAGAATATCAAGCGATGGTCGAGAATATCAAGCGATGGTCGAGAATATTAGGTGATGGTCGAGATTTCACCCCATTCGTCTTGTGAGACGTGGCTAATAGCCGGTAAAGTACGGGTACAAAACGTCGGCTGGTAGTCGTGGAAGATACGTACGTTGTACTTTGGTCGATTAACTTATGTTATTGTGTCATTGGTAATATCGATAATATTTTCTGATTTGTGATTTTCTTACTGGTAATTTTAAAAGATGCCAAGGTACGCCAAATAACGGCCTTATAGCTGTTAGACTTTTCAACATTTATTATCATTTTATAAATTTTTATGATAATTTTTGTAGGACAAATAAAAGGTTTAAAGCAACTGTAGCTGTCACATATCATGATGAGGATGGCCATGTTGAGAGAGAGGAGGTGGATTTGTCAGAATTGGTTACTGAGGATCATAGAGGAAGCTGTTCTATTAACAGTCCTGATAATTGTGGTGCATTGGAAGGCCATGAACTGGGAATGGAACAAGATAACAGTGATCTTGAAAGTGATGTTCGCCATGATTGTGAAGAATCAGCTTCTTATTACCAGAAAGTTGAAAGAAAACAAAAAGCATGGGAAAATTTGCGACATTCAGTTATAAAGAATACATTTCAGTTTGCTGGCAAAATTGGAGCAATCGGAAGTGTATTCATTGTGATAATGAAGCAAAGTTTAGGTGCAGCGATTGTGGTCCAATGGCAAAGTATTGTGAGAACTGTATGTTAAAGATGCACACAACCGTAAATATTTGTCATCATGTTGAAATATTTAAGGTAACCTTTATGAGATAGATATTATAAAAGTCTTTACAGTTAACTCTCTCAACACTTGCAATAAAAAATGCAAAAATAAAATGAGAGTTTACATTGTGAAACATGCTGAAGCACTAATCTAATATTTTTATGAATGCAAGAAAGGGATTGATTACAATGAATTTCTCTGAGGTTATTCATTGCTTTGTAGGATGGCATGTTTTGGCCATATAAGCTCATGAACATGCTGGTGTATCATTGTTCATGCCAAACAGCTCGTCACAAAAGAAGTGTTTCTGTTGTTGATGTTAAAGGTATGTTATATGTAAAATGTGCTGTAAAAGTTTCTTCATTTTAGCTGGCATGGTTCAACACAATTATAATTTTGGATCTTTTTCAATTTTTAGGCACCTTTTGTACTGTTGAGGTACAGTTTTGCTCATGCTCTTCCGAGTTTGTTCAACTTCTGCAATTTGGCCTTTGGGGTGGAACACCTACAAAACCAAGACTTGCATTTGCAATTGAGTTTTTTGAATTGGTTCATTCTGTGCAGATGGAATGCCAGGCATCAATAAAAAGCATTTGTCAGTCATTTGAAGAGTTTAATCATAACCACATATTTTCTTCTTATGCAACACCAAAATGTATCCTGTCATTATAGATGCTTTTGAAGAATACAGGTAATTGCATGTAGGTCACTGATTTATTGCACTGCTGTACTACGTATGAATTGCTGGGAAAGTTGCAGTCAATTTTATAGCCTAAGAATCTCATCTTAAGAGATGTATTTAATTGGAGGAAATCAAAATGCTAAAGTTTTGATGGGAAAGGATTTTTCCTCAAGTATTACTGTATTGCACTGTATTTTGTTTATGTCATTTGTTTAAGAGTGCATAATTGCTTTCTTTGTGTCATTGTTTTTCAGAATTTACAGACATAAACTAAACATGTTGAGCTGTGTTTTTCCTGAGCTTGATGAAGGAAATATCTGTCCTGCTTGTCCCAAAGTGAGTATATTCATATTACTCGTTTAACAATGACAATTTAGTAAAAAGAACATTAGCAATGCTATCTTAAACACCTTTTTGACTGCATCATTTGCATCATTGAACTCAAATACATTGCATGATTTTATCCTTCACCATTTTATTGAAGACTGATGGTGTGATCTTTGAGTCTCTTGATGCTCTCTTTTATTGGACGAAGGAAAAAGCTGGGCAGAGTATTGGAAAACCTCTATTTGAACAGCTGATGTTCTATGATCAGACACATGTTGATCAATTTGTTGCCAATTATACCACACCTACATCAAACAAGGTCAATGTAGCTTTAATATACTTTGTTATTCTAATGAAAATTCAGGCATGGAAGTTACAGTGCTTTGAATATATTTGATTTTTACATTCTCTACCACATAGTTTTTATTTTCAATAAATTTGTGCCGTGGGCTTTAGGAAATAAAGCTCTTGTATACTTTTTTGTTTGTTACATACTGATACTTATAGGAGTGTCATGGTTTTCTTGCTGGGAATGCTGTTCGATCAATGAATCGCTACAGAGCTCTTGATGAAACAGCAATCTTTGGGCGAGGCTGTCGACATGAGTTTCCTAAAAAATTCTTAAATTTGAAACATGGAGAGAGGTCTGTTACACACATTTTTCTCTATTTTTACCTAAATGTTCTTGGTTTGAATGAGGTGGTTAAGATGCTTGCATTTGATGGTGTAAATTTATTTTTTTCAGTTGGTTTGCTACTTTCATTGCTTTGTGCAAGTGCTGAAGCTTTTTGCATACATGTGGTTGCATTATTTAAAAAAATATTCTACATATTTTATAGATTGAGCTATGCAGTTTATGTTCTCCAAGAATTAGAGAAAGATAATGCTGATAAACCTGCACTCAAAATAAACATATTGTATGATGTTGCATGCATGTTGGTGAAACACTTACAGGTAATATTCAATTGACAATAGTTGCTTTGTTAACTGTTTCCTTAGTCAATAACTTTCCCTCAACACTTTTTTTCTTTGAAAAGGTAGTCTTTCACATGTTTTTCTTTATTTTGTTTTTTACAAAAAGAATTTGGAGGATCCAATTATTGACATTTTTCAATTTTCAATTCCAATTTTTCACTGCTATGGCCATGTTGGACGATGCCAAATTAGTTGTTATTATTTTTATTTTTCATACGTATTAACAGATGGTGATACCTGGGTTTTTATGCTGTCATAACTAATGGTATTTTAGATGATAAAATTATAAAAAATCAATAATTTTTTGCTAAATCTTTCTTGTAAAAGGTTAAATTTAGTCCCCGTCGTAAAGAAGGATTTGGCCTAACTGACGGTGAGATGTTGGAGAGATTGTGGGCTTACATTCGCAAATTTAGCAGAATGACTAAAGAAATGCGTCCAAGTCACAGAGTTGATGTACTCAGTGATGCTCTTTTACATTATGGAAAGAAAACGAAGATTAATTTAGGTATAACTAGTTTTGTTTCTTTGTTTGAACATATACATAGCTAACATGTCATCATATTATGTAATAGCAGGTATGAATTAAATTTTGTTTTTTGAGGCAATTTGCTGATGGCAAGGATGAAGCGAGCTGTTGACGTGGAAGAAACTGCAAAATCAGATATTGAAAAGTTATGCAGGTGCTTTCCGTGTGAGTATATGTTTGTATTTGCTGTGTGGTTATATTTGACTCCGATTTTGGATATGAACTATTTACGACTCACATGAAAGCAGTAAATTTTCTTTTTCATTATCTAAAGCTCACAGGATTTCAATAGATAATATTCGTGAGTGGATGAAGGACGAATCGACTTTTTTTGGTCGTGAAGTTGAGACTGGTTAGTAATTGAGAAACAATGGCTTGTAGCTATGGAACAGATTTGACACATAATTATTGATGCTCATTATGTGGAATGTTTTGCCCACAGAAAACTTTTTTTAACAAATATACGTAAATCTTCAACAACTTACAGAAGAAGAAGATTGGAAATGCAAGTACGTTATATACCTGGACTTGTACGCTGATCTTTACCATCGATGGAATGGTTGCACTGATCCAAGTGAACTGACTGTTCGATTTAATCAGATGAAAAAGTATGTTCGAAAAGTTGAACTTGTTCCTAGAGATATTAAAGTCTTAAACAGTGTGCATTTAGAAAAATGAACTGGGAAAATTTTGAAGCTATTAATGTACGTCGTAACATTGTGAATAATAAGTTGGAATATCGAATAAAAAATTATTTCTTGTTTTTATACGTACGTACAAGTAGAGATGTATATGCAACTTGCAGGTGCTTATCTGACCGTGCCTTATATTTGTAATGATTTGGTATTTACTGTTTAGAATTGACGAGCAGTTGAAGATCATGGAAAGGGAAAACTCAATTTCTGCACGCTGGCAAAATACTGACTCAGAGTACGAAAATGCAAAACGCGAGGTTGCGTCTAGGAAAGAAAAACGTGTTTTGTCTCGAATGAGGAAAAATGTTGTTGAAAGATGGTTTCTCCTAAATCTTAAGTCTAAATACTGTGGTAACTCTACCTATCTCATAAATGTTCCATACCACTTGCAATGTTTGTAAATTACTTTACATGTTGCCTTCTTTGTAATGTTCTCTGTATGTTTGTTCTGTTTTTCAGATAGTCAAGCGTTGGCATCCAGACTTTCGAAGCAAATTACTCGAGTAACAAAGGATGTCAATAAAGATATCGCAGCTTATAACGAGGCAAAAGAATCACATTCTAATCATTCACATACCGCATTAACATTTGATGCTGTCAAAGATCCTGACAATGATTTTGGTGTGAATATCTAGCTGCACCTACTGATGAAGATTGTTCAGTTCCATTTACTGTTAAACGGAAGGCTATAGATTTATGCCATTTGCTTGACCGATCCAAGGAAGAGCAAATCCTGTCGAAGTCAGAAATGGAAAATACGTGGAGTCACTACTTTCAACAGCACAGCAAGATTACTGACTTTTTGAATAGTTTTATTAACCATGAAAACGTACTTGATGTTGAATACGGTGAAGCGATATTTTTACACAGGAAGATCTTTCAAATTGAAAGCATGTTGATAGATCTAGAAAAAAGGTTTTCTTTGTACATCAACAAAGACAAACCACAGTATTTATTTCATGGGAATGTTGACATGCTTCAAAGTGATCTGGTGTCGGCTCTGGATGACGAAGAAAAGTGGTTGTATATGAACAAGTGGATTCTGAAGACGATCAAACAAGTGAAGACGACTATGAAAGCACCAGCGATGATGTATAACGGGATTGTGCAGGCACTTTAAGCTCTTGAAAATCCTTTAATTAGAAAATCAATTTACGTAAAGGGTACTTGAAAAGTTGTTACGAAGTCATGTGTAATAGCCGCCCAACGTACGTACGCTGGATAATAAATGCGTTGAAAAAAACTTTTTGTTGAACAAATACTTGTTGAACTGTCGTATGTAACTTTTTGGTAGTTATACAATGTAGTATATGGTGAAAATGGATGTTATATATACATGGGTAATAGCCCAACGTACGTACGCTGGATAATAAATGCGTTGAAAAAAACTTTTTGTTAAATAAATACTTGTTGAACTGTCATATGTAACTTTTTGGTAATTATACAATGCAGTATATGGTGAAAATGGATATTATATAGACATGGGTAATAGCCGCCCAACGTACGTACGCTGGATAATAAATGCGTTAAAAAATTTTTGTTAAATAAATACTTGTTGAACTGTCGTATGTAACTTTTTGTTAGTTATACAATGTAGTATATGGTGAAAATGGATGTTATATATACGTGGTAATAGCCGCCCAACGTACGTACGCTGGATAATAAATGCGTTAAAAAAAAATTTTGTTGAATAAATACTTGTTGAACTGTCATATGTAACTTTTTGGTAGTTATACAATGCAGTATATGGTGAAAATGGATGTTATATATACATGGGTAATAGCCGTCCAACGTACGTACGCTGGATAATAAATGCGTTAAAAAAAATTTTGTTGAATAAATACTTGTTGAACTGTCGTATGTAACTTTTTGGTAGTTATACAATGTAGTATATGGTGAAAATGGATGTTTATATATACATGGGTAATAGCCGCCCAACGTACGTACGCTGGATAATAAATGCGTTGAAAAAAACTTTTTGTTAAATAAATACTTGTTGAACTGTCATATGTAACTTTTTGGTAATTATACAATGCAGTATATGGTGAAAATGGATATTATATAGACATGGGTAATAGCCGCCCAACGTACGTACGCTGGATAATAAATGCGTTAAAAAAAAAATTTTTTTGAATAAATACTTGTTGAACTGTCGTATGTAACTTTTTGGTAGTTATACAATGCAGTATATGGTGAAAATGGATGTTATATATACATGGGTAATAGCCGTCCAACGTACGTACGCTGGATAATAAATGCGTTGAAAAAACTTTTGTTAAATAAATACTTGTTGAACTGTCATATGTAACTTTTGGTAGTTATACAATGCAGTATATGGTGAAAATGGATATTATATACATGGGTAATAGCCCAACGTACGTACGCTGGATAATAAATGCGTTAAAAAATTTTTTGAATAAATACTTGTTGAACTGTCGTATGTAACTTTTTGGTAGTTATACAATGCAGTATATGGTGAAAATGGATGTTATATAGACATGGGTAATAGCCGCCCAACGTACGTACGCTGGATAATAAATGCGTTGAAAAAAACTTTTTGTTAAATAAATACTTGTTGAACTGTCATATGTAACTTTTTGGTAGTTATACAATGCAGTATATGGTGAAAATGGATGTTATATATACATGGGTAATAGCCGTCCAACGTACGTACGCTGGATAATAAATGCGTTAGAAAAAAAATTTTGTTGAATAAATACTTGTTGAACTGTCATATGTAACTTTTTGGTTGTTATACAATGCAGTATATGGTGAAAATGGATGTTATATATACATGGGTAATAGCCGTCCAACGTACGTACGCTGGATAATAAATGCGTTAAAAAAAAATTTTGTTGAATAAATACTTGTTGAACTGTCGTATGTAACTTTTTGGTAGTTATACAATGTAGTATATGGTGAAAATGGATGTTATATATACATGGTAATAGTACGTACGCTGGATAATAAATGCGTTGAAAAAACTTTTGTTAAATAAATACTTGTTGAACTGTCATATGTAACTTTTGGTAGTTATACAATGCAGTATATGGTGAAAATGGATGTTATATATACATGGGTAATAGCCGTCCAACGTATACGCTGGATAATAAATGCGTTAGAAAAAAATTTTGTTGAATAAATACTTGTTGAACTGTCATATGTAACTTTTTGGTAGTTATACAATGCAGTATATGGTGAAAATGGATGTTATATATACATGGGTAATAGCCGTCCAACGTACGTACGCTGGATAATAAATGCGTTAAAAAAAAAATTTTGTTGAATAAATACTTGTTGAACTGTCGTATGTAACTTTTTGGTAGTTATACATGTAGTTTAGTATATGGTGAGAATGGATGTTATATATACATGGGTAATAGCCGTCCAACGTACGTACGCTGGATAATAAATGCGTTGCAAAAAACTTTTTGTTGAATAAATACTTGTTGAACTGTCGTATGTAACTTTTTGGTAGTTATTGTCGCAGAATTCACTGAGTTCGTCCAGAAAATTGATCTGCACTCTGATTCGGTTTGTTTTATGGAGTTTATTAGCAATGAACAATCTACACAATCTCTCCGACTATTACAAATTTGAGTCTATTTATATGTTTACATTTCGTGACTTACGTGCACTACTACAACATGAATTAATTAAGAGAGAAAATACTTAGGAAGTGTTAAGTATATACACCCTAATTTTTAATTATAATTTTGGCACACATAAAACTCTGCATGGGAACTTATAAAATCTGGCATGCAACAAAAAAAATATAAATGAAATATCCTAAATTATACAACACTCTCCCCCCCCTTGACTCACTCAGGAGTCAAGCATCGCCCTAACCTTCCACCTGGCGTCCAAAGCCGCCTTCTCTTAGTCTCCTTACATCCGCTAACCATATCCTCCTTAACAACCCTTCAACCTTACTCTCGTCTTTAACCTCAACTGGATATAAATGCTGAATCGCTCTATTCAACACCTGGCGACGACCGTTTGTCATCACGCAAACCTTGCACCACGAACGACCTTATCCTTGCCACAAATCAATTCCTGAATCACACCTGTCTTCCACTCCCCTTTTCTTACCCTGCTCAAACACAATGACCACATCCCCTGGCTTAATTATCGCCGACTGTTTGTCTGCCATCCCAACCTTATGAAATTCCCGAAGATTCGTGAGATACTCCCGTTTCCACCTGCTCCAAAAATGCTCCAGTATGGTACTTAAATGTTTGAATCGTGTCCTAGTGTTTGTTCTAGTCGAATCTTGTCCTAAATCATTAATTTTTGAGTCCTTGCTATCGGGTAATGTCACGATGCGCCTACCATAGACTAAATGTGCAGGAGTAAGTACTTCACTATTCACTTCCTCGTACTCATACGTTAAGGGTCTAGAATTCAAATTAGCTTCAACTTCAGCTAGAACAGTTGTCAGTTCGTCGAAAGTAAGTTTTGCATTGCCCAAAACTTTCCTTAAACAGACTTTCACTAGCCCTATCATCCTTTCGAAAACCCTCCCACCATGGGGCCCTCTCTAGGTTAAATCGCCACTCAATGTTCTTAGCGCTAAGGCAATTATCTACTTCTTCGCATTGAAATAAGTCGCGCAACGTCTTTTGCGGCTTTAAATGTTTTGGCGTTGTCAGAAACAATAAGTTTCGGTGTTCCAAACCTTGCAAAAAATCTTCTTAAACAGCGCAGAAATGTCGCTGCACTCAAATCGTGCACTAACTCTAAGTGAACCGCGCGTGTCACACAGCAGGTGAACAGCGCAATGTACACCTTGCTCATACTTGCCTTTGTTTTACGTACAAAGGTCCTGCAAAATCTACGCCTGAATTTTCAAATGGTGCGGCTCTCCTAACCCTAAACTCTGGTAACGCTGCTTGCTTTATTTGTGTACACGGCTTACTGTTCCATCGTTTACAAGCTACACATCCACCGCTCACTCTCTTAACTTCCTGTCTGCCCTTGGGTACCCAATACTTCGACCTCAGTTGCGCCAACGTGCTCCGAACTCCCCCATGCATAACAGATTCATGACACTGCCTAATCACTAGCTCTGTGAAATACTGTCTCCTAGGCAAAACAATCGGCTCTCTAGCTTCTGCCTCCAAATCTGATTCACCCAATCTTCCCGTACAATGCAGTATCCCGTTCATTTCTATCAGTCCGTACTGTCTTTCTAACTGCTTAAACTCGGGTTGCTCTCGTAACTCTAGCTGGGCTGACTTTATCCACTCGCATTCTCCATCATTCATTTCGCTCGCTTTTATTGGTCCGGTAAAAATTTCTAATCCTAGTCTTTTTTGTTTCAAATTATAGACGAATCTCTTCACCCACGCAGTAACTCTTAACAGCCGTGTAAGTGTGCTGTATTTACTTATGCTAATGACATTGCCAATTCCAAACAATGACCTTGCACTTATGATTAGGTTAACAACAAATGACCTTTTCTCTTCAACCTTGCTGTCTACTGTGGGAACTATCTCCTTCACCATAGGATAATGCCTTGGACTACCCGCAACCAAGACGGTCCTGACCACCAAACCTCCGCGTTCTTTAACTCAGTCATCAAGACCCCTCGCGACCCTAAATCTGCAGGGTTTTCCTTACCTGGACAATGACTCCACTCTGTTTTTGAACTAAGCCTTAATATTTCGTCAACTCTATGCTGAACAAATTGCTTCCAATTGCCTGAGTTGACTATCCAATACAAAACAGTCATACTATCAGTCCAATACTTAACGCCCTCAAAATTATACTCTGACTCTAACGCTTTCCTGACTGCAGACATTAAATGAGCCAATATTCTAGCTGCCATTAATTCTAACCGCGGAATACTAAGTTCTTTCATCGGGGCTACTCTTGTTTTGCTGGCAATCAACTTAACACGAACATCGTTACCGTTCAAAACTACTAGATACACAACCGCACAATAAGCTCGCTTTGACGCATCCCCAAATCCATGCAAAAAATATCTCTGCTTTGATTCTGAGCCAGATGTGTCAGTCACGCCGCTCGAGTACCTGCCTATTGAAACACTCTTTACCTCCTTTAGATCTCTCAACCACTTCTCCCACTTCTCTTTCACACTTTTAGGCAATGTATCGTCCCAATCCACGCCACTGTAACAAATATCTTGAAAGAGAATTTTAGCTTTAACAATCGTAGGACTCAAGAGCCCTAATGGATCGAAGATACAAGCTAACAGACTCAACACATTTCTCTTCGTCGGTTCCGTGTTTTCCGCTTTCGCACTCAAATTTTCGAAATCGAATATTATTACGTCCCCGACGCTATCCCATTCCAACCCTAATACTTTACCAAATTGACCCTGTACTTGAGCAAGCGTGGTTTTCGCATACGTTTGCTCATCAACGCAACTACTTTCCACGTCACGCACATCTTCTTCAATTTGCGATCTTAACGCACTATCATTAGTCCGCCATTTGCGTAACTTAAATCCGCCTTCATTCATGCGTTCGTTGGCCTTACGATATAGCTGATACGCTCGCTCTGTACTAGATTCACCGCTGGCAAGATCGTCCACGTAAAAGCTTTTAGCAGTTTTTCTGAAAATTCCCTATCGCACTGTAAATATTTGCTAATATGATGCCTTAACGTCGAATTAAGCAAAATGGTGACGAATTCACCCCAAATACGACTCTACAAAACGGTAAACTACAAGATTCAAATTGTTGCGCAGTACATCATCTACCCACAAAAACCTTAGGCTATCTCGATCCCTTTCGTGCACTTCAATGTTTAGGAAGGCCTTCTCTATGTCCGCTATTAGCGCTATTCTTTGCTCACGGAACCTAAGCAGAATATCAAACAAAAGTGGATTAAGTGAAGGTCCGATATGCAAACAATCATTCAAAGAGACACTTGACTTGAGTACTTTAGCGCTTGCGTCATAAACCACTCTAACCTTTGTCGTCTTGGCATCCTTTCGCACGACAGCTTGATGAGGCATGTAATGTATTTTGGCATGAGAATTAATCACACTATCTTTTCCTACCCTCTCTATGATGCCTAACTCTTCTTGGGCCTTAATGATAGTGTCATATTCCTTCAGTAATTCTGGGTTCTTACCTAGTCGTCTGATTTGTCCCTTCATTCTCTTAAGACTTAAGTCATAGTTAGTAGGTAAAGGATCGTGACCCTCCCTCCAGGGCAACCCCACTGAATAACGCGTACCGTCAAAACTAAGATCGTTTATGACCGATTCATGCACATCACTTACTTTGTCCTTAATTCCTAGGCTTTCTAAATCCCAAAAGTTTTCTACGTTGATACAAGTTTTATTAGCGGAGCAAAAATTTACCTGAGCAGTGGCGGGTTGATTCTTATCCGTGCTTCCAACCGGCCCTGAAACTACCCATCCAAGCACCGTCTCGATAGCCACAGGCTCCCCCTGCTTCCCTCGCATAATACGACCTTTCTGCAACGACCACAAGTAATCCGCACCCACGAGTACGTTTACCTCCAATTCCTCATTTACCTTACAAACATCAGACAACCACAACCCCTTCAAATGTTCAAAGTTATTTCGAACCACCTCCAAATGTTGATTACTAATTACTGATATTTCTGGTACAACATATGCCTCGATAGATACGACTTCACCACCCGACAACGAACTCAAATCCAATCGCACAACCCTTCTCAACTCGTTCTCTAAAGCCCTTTTCCCAAACGTTCCTATTCTCAGATTTTCTTCACGAACGACTTTACATCCCAACGCTTTAGCCGTCCTTTCAGTAACAAATGATCTCTGACTCCCAGAATCCAACAAAACCCTTACTCGTCCCGACTTACTACCAACCAGTTTTGCTTGTGCAGTTTGCAAAGCAACATTGCATCCTGCTTTTTCACAACTATTCTTAGGACTTACAAATAGAGTATTACTACTATTGGCATCTACATTCCCAACCTCCCTTGTCCAACAGTTCCCTGGGGCTTACTTTCCTTTCCCGAATCACACAGAGCCTTGTGGTGATTCTTCTTACATATACTACATTTAATATTGTTGTCACAGTCACGAGCCATGTGGCCCTTTTCCAAACAAATATAACAACGACCGTATTTCTTAATAATATTCTTACGTTCCTCAATTGACTTGATCTTCTCACATTCTTCATGCCGATGACATCCCAGGCAGAATGCGCAACGAACCGGTCCCGATTTTGTCAGGAGGGCGCTTGCTGTTTTCGTATCGTTCCGCCTGGCTCCATTTGATGACTTCTCAGGATCACCATGCCGTTCTCGTTGCTCTCTCTGAACTCGATGCTCTTCTCGCAGCTCAACTTCGCACTTTAACGCTCTTAACATATCGTCCATATCCCACTGATGGAAGTTTTCGCCTCTCGTGATCAACAATCGAATCGATTCCGGTATCAAGTTCAAAACGTAAGGTACCACGATTGATGAATACGTAGCGCTGTCCACTCCCAATGCATCCAAACCTCGATGATGTGCTTCGACACTATCACACAAGTGACGAAGAGACGTAATATCTCTCGGATCTTTCACTCTATCTAAGTTCAAAAGTTTTTGCATGTGCGCTCGTTGGACCGATTCTGGCTTCCCATAGCGTTCCTTCAACGCGTCTATTGCAGCGTTGTAGTTCGCCGAAGTCAAAGAATATCCCGCGATACATGACTTCGCTGGTTCGCCTAAGAGTCCCCGAAGATAATTGAATTTGTCAACGTCGGACAAACTTCCATTTCCGTGAATGGCGCTTTCGAAGGAATCCCAAAACTCCTGCCATTCGCAAACATTTCCATTGAACCGCTTAACGTGCAGCTTTGGCAATTTTGCGCAAACTGTTCTATTGGTCACCGACGCTCCTCCGTCAGACCTTAACGAACTGTTCATTCTATTTTCCGAAGCGCAATTGCCGTCAATCTTTTGGCGAAGCTTCCTCGCCATCGACTTTGCTTCAGAACTTATTCTTCCAGCTTCCTCGACTTCGCTGACAATGTCAAGTTCTGACGCTTCTTCGTCCCCAGCAATCAAGTTAAGGATGTCTTCATCCAGTTTTTGGAGCATAGCGACTGTCTCCAAGATTTTGTCGCGTTGCTCTTCCGCGTCATTCTTTCTTCGTTCATCGAATGCGTCGACTAAGCCTGCTGCCGACGCCACAACTTTCGTCAGGTAACCGCGATGACCTGCTCGTACTCTTTTCTTTCTTGCTAACTCCTCCATACTATCCGGCTCGAAGGACCACTTGTCGCAGAATTCACTGAGTTCGTCCAGAAAATTGATCTGCACTCTGATTCGGTTTGTTTTATGGAGTTTATTAGCAATGAACAATCTACACAATCTCTCCGACTATTACAAATTTGAGTCTATTTATATGTTTACATTTCGTGACTTACGTGCACTACTACAACATGAATTAATTAAGAGAGAAAATACTTAGGAAGTGTTAAGTATATACACCCTAATTTTTAATTATAATTTTGGCACACATAAAACTCTGCATGGGAACTTATAAAATCTGGCATGCAACAAAAAAATATAAATGAAATATCCTAAATTATACAACAGTTATAGCTACAATGTAGTATATGGTGAAAATGCATGTTATATATATATGGGTAATAGCCGTCCGACGTACGTACGCTGGATAATAAATGCGTTGAAAAAAACTTTTTGTTAAATAAATACTTGTTGAACTGTCGTATGTAACTTTTTGGTAGTTATACAATGTAGTATATGGTGAAAATGGATGTTATATATACATGGGTAATAGCCGTCCAACGTACGTACGCTGGATAATAAATGCGTTGAAAAAAACTTTTTGTTAAATAAATACTTGTTGATCTGTCGTATGTAACTTTTTGGAAGTTATACAATGTAGTATATAGCGAAAATGGATGTTTTATATACATGGGTAATAGCCGCCCAACGTACGTACGCTGGATAATAAATGCGTTGAAAAAAACTTTTTGTTGAATAAATACTTGTTGAACTGTCATATGTAACTTTTTGGTAGTTATACAATGCAGTATATGGTGAAAATGGATGTTATATATATATGGGTAATAGCCGTCCGACGTACGTACGCTGGATAATAAATGCGTTGCAAAAAACTTTTTGTTGAATAAATACTTGTTGAACTGTCGTATGTAACATTTTGGTAGTTATACAATGTAGTATATGGTGAAAATGGATGTTATATATACGTGGGTAATAGCCGTCCAACGTACGTACGCTGGATAATAAATGCGTTGAAAAAAACTTTTTGTTAAATAAAAGCATCTTTTATTTTAATTGTAGACAAAATTGAAGTATAATTGTTTCCTGTACAAGAATTCATTAGTTTTTGATAAAGTGATAGAACTTAGCTAAAAAAGAAAATCTTATTCAGTAAACCTAAACTATAAAAACAGCGCTAGTTCATCGTCAATAGTATATCTAGACGACATTGAGTCATAAGAGTATCCACTACAAGATCCACTACAGCTTTCAGGTACTTCGGTAGATAACAAGGTTAGTCACTTTCAGAGTCTGCACCGTCTTGAACTCCACTCGCACAATTATAAATTTTTTCAGCGTTATTTCGGAGACAACGCTCAGTTTTTCGTATACAATATATGCAGGCCTATATAAAATATCATAGTTTCACTGTCACATAGCTTTCACAACAAAAAAACGTCTTGGACTTTGGCGTTAGATGAACAACAAACCTCAGGGAATAAAACGTTATACACGTAGTTGATGTTCATTGAATTTGTTTCATTAAAGGATCGAAAAATATCTGTGACTATTTCTTTGACTACATTCAACAGATCGTTTGCCTATATATACAAAAATGAAGAGTTAAGACACTAGTGGGGCTCCATTTCTAACAGAGAATGTGTTTTTATACTTGAGTTCGAGTTAAAGGACACGTCATGTAGAGATCGGTGAGTTCAGTCTGAGCTTGATTTCGCCCACGGATCATTTGCTTAAATAACCTGTGGCGTTTACTGGGTATCGCACCGTTGACGATTTTTGTTAAATGTGCCTAAAATTCAATGTTAAAATATTATAGGTATGTTTATCTGCAACTGATATTAAATAATTTTAATTCTAAGAGAACCTTTAATCCTCTGAATGAGCGATTTCCCTTTATATTTATGTCAAATGTTTTCGCAGATCTGTCAAGGAAAAGATAAAAGAAATGAAATATATTTATTCGTGTGTGTTCAAGAAACTCACATTTTAGAAATAAAACATTTAAGAGCACGAGGAACGTATTAATAACTATTATCAATACGTATGCAAATAAATCGGTGATGCGCAAAAATGAACAGACTAACAGTTCGTAGTTTAGAAAAAGTGGATGTATAATTTACCCATGAGTAAAGTAAGATACATTGCATCCGCAATCAAATTTTCCTTTCGGCTTCGTCGTAATGCCAACGCAATCCAAATGGTACCATTGTTGACAAACATCACACAACACCCAATCCACCATTCCATTATCTTTGGAAGATGGTTCTTGACAAAGAAAGGCTTTACATTTGTCATAGGATGTCAAATGACTAGCTCTTTTCTTTGCACAAGACACACTTTCTCTGTCACTGGACTTTGCCTCTTTTCTTTTTCTTTTGTTGTTACTTCTTCCCTTCCTGTGCTCTTTATCAACTTTTTTAGGCACGGCGTTTTCTATTGCAAGGTTTCCGTCACCTTCATTAACTGTTCCGTCTCGTCCACAAAATACATTCCCAGAATTACCATCATCATCGCCACCATTATTTACAACATCTTCTCTATCACCGGGAACATCACCATTTTCACAACCATTATTAACATTATCAGTTCTTTGTCCATGGCCAACATCATATTCGTCGGAAACGTTAACAAGTTCGCCATGACTATTATTATCATTCTCACCACTAACTTCAACAACTTCTTGGATGTGGCCGCCATTTTCTTGCTCTTTGTCACATTCCTCAACATTTTCTGCATGAAGAACATTATTTCCTTCCACTATCTCCCTTTCCACAAACGTAAGCTCATTTGATTTTTCAATAAATAAATCCATTGCTGCTTCTCCCATAGTCGATGGATCCCGTAATGATGCGTGTTCTGGAATTCCGCATACTACATATTTGAAATCCCCTTTCAAAAGAGAAGTGTATGGCACTTTTGCTTTGTCCATTCCAGTTGCTTCACCTAGAATGTTTTTTTTGAAACTAGTATAAGCTATTGTTACTGAAATTGCTGCAGGATTGTGTGCAACCTCTTTTACTAATCATTGCTTCAAATATTACAAAATTTCCTGCATAAGTAATTGTACTTATTTCAAGAAATATTGACCAAGAACAACCTTTTCATATTCCATCTAAAAAGTTTTACAATTAGTTATATGTTCATACTTACAGTATTTCTGATTTAAAATATCACGCAAAGATTTCCTCTTCTGTTTCAATCTTGCCATGCGATTATCGCTAACAGTTTCAACGTTGTCGTTTGACTCAATTGCTACAACCAAAAAGTTTGCATTAGATTAAAATATTAAATAAGAAACAAAAATCACAAGTTCTCGGTTGTCCTGAGAAGAAAAATGTATTTCCTCACAGGCATGATGTAAAGTAAGGACCACAAACCTCCAGAGCTGTTTACAAAAGCATAAAATGAAGCGGGGATGCTCTTTCTTTTGCAGTATTGTAAGGCAGACTTTGAGCCATGCACTTCAACACCAGATTCCACGGCAGCCACGAAAAAGTAATCAATGTTCATTCCTTTCAAAGCATCCAACTAAACAATGGCACTGATAGCATTAATAAAAATTGAAACTGATCATAAAAATAATTTTGTGCGTTTATTTTGACCCAATAAACATACCTTCTTCAAAATTTTTTCAACTCTCGTTTCTTGCGCGTTTCTTGGTCTAAAACAGAGAAATCTGTCTTTGCCCTATTTATATAGCCTTCTCGTTGGCTTTCATCCAGGCAGCGCCATCGTTGTCCCAATTCAACATTTCTAGCGTGAAATGTCAATGACTTTAAGGAGTCTAAAAAAAGAATAAAAATGTGCATAATGTTAATAGAGACAACTTTGTGTACGTAGCTATTCTCACCATCGTTAGAAGCTTCTTCTTTACAAAATAATTGGTATCCATTCATTCCACTAAAAAAGTAAATGAATTTTATTTTTTATTTGAAAATTTTGTAAAACTTGCAGTCTTTTGAAATGATTTCCTTTGGCTGACTATTGATGGACAATTCTACCGTTTTGAAAAGCTGAAAAGTGAGTGAAGAGTCAAGAAAATTTTTAATTCGTTATTGCAGCCATGTGGAACTATGTTTTTCTTGAGTATTGAAATACTCAGGGAAAGCCCCGCATAATTTCCCGCGATTTAGGGAAAATCCGTATGCGAACAAACAACAATATTTACAACATTACTACGGTTTGTAGATCTAAATTTGGCACAAATTATAGCAGAGATATGCATGCCCACTATAAGTGAGATTAACGAGCAGATATGGAAAAAGTTATAAAACAGCGATGTAGACAAATAAGGAGCTTTATTTTACCTAGAAATGATTCCTATCCTGCTTAAAATCAACCAGAAGAGTCTATTTGGTGTGCAATATAGCCTAGTTTGTTTGAAACAACGCGAAGAGAAAAGATAAGGTTATGTTTATTAATCACCAGACCCCTGTCTAAGGCCGTGCTCGGTAACCACCAAAGGAGCCTGGCGCGAACGTACAGCGTACGTGTACTTTGACAGCTATCAGCCAGTACTTTTTAGCACTAAAATACGGCTATTAGCCATATGCCTAAGACGAAGCGGGTGACTATCGCCTAATATTCTCGACCATCGCTTGATATTCTCGACTAGCGGTTGGAATTCTCAATACACTTTTGTCACGTTTGGCTTGCCATAAATAACATGTGATTTATTTGTGCATTACCTTTGAGGCTAACACCTGTGAACGTGAATCACACTATGTGCATGTGAACAAAATATAACTAATTGTAGCAAACAGCCTGTTCGCTCTTGCAGCATCCGAAATTAACCTTGACCTTCATGACCTTAGAAAGCGGACTGTTTTGAGTAAATAAACTAAATAGTGACAAACTTTCCCAGTATTTTTGTATATGTTAACAGAGTGTGTCCTACCCTCTCTTCGTTTCTCACTGATTAACATATCTCCTATTTACAATCCAAACTACAAAATAACGCGCGGAATCAATAAAATTATTATTCGCTTATGCAAATAACTCCTATATACTAATTATTACATATTCACAGAATCACAGAGTATTAGATTACAAAATGAAATGATGACAATGTGGTGAATTTTATTCGTTATAACATGTGGTTGAGAGGAATTTTATGAAGCTCAGTGGTATGGAACTGTACGGGTTTCACAGTTCTTCATTCCATTTCCCGATTCCCATTCTTTGTTTTTCAGATCGCCCTCACTGTTTAGTCATATAACCCGTGATAAGCCTTTTGCCACATTCCACACGCCATTGCTTCGTTTGCATGTCACATGATTACAATTACATCGCATTCAGTACTCAGAAAGTGACTGTATCAGTAAAAAATTGGGTTTGCCACAAAACTGAACTGGTTAAAGCCTTAGCAATTGAAATTAAATCAATCATAAGTAACACAATATACTTTACATGTTTGTAAATGTAGATCGTCCAGGTTGGTATAGTCCTGAGGACTGTTTTTGTTGTTGTTGACTGACGTTTCGACAACCTTAGCGGTAGTCATCTTCAGATGACGATACTCCCGGGTTAAAACCATTCACTTTACAATATACTTTGTATACATCATTTGATAAATCAGCAAGCTTGCTTGATTTTGTTGGAACCGACATCAAGTACCAACAATGTTGACTATGTTGTCGAACTGGATTTGGCCGTGTCGTTGAGTAGTTGCTATTTTCCTAATAGAGATTTTGTAAGATTATTTATTTGTTAACTTGAGACAAAGAACCTTATTTTCAAACAAACTTTAACCTATGCCTTATGTCGGAATGTTTTAGAGTGGTTCTATTGCAACTAGGCTTGCCGTTTCAATAGAATAAATTGTGGTTTTTCTACAATAAAAATTTATTCAACGTAATATTTAAACGTCTATAGGTTTTAGTCGCATGTTGTGCTCGTCTAACATCAACGTTTATAAGAAATACGATGATGGAAGTCGTTAGTAGTAGTCCAATATAAAAAGTTAATTAAGATTTTGATGTGTGAAGTTGAGCTCATAAGACCAATATAAAGTCAAACTTTTTCATCTTCCAGAAAAAATGGTCACTGCTCAGTCGTACGAGTCGTGAATTAATGATAATCCTTTTGCTTTTATCCACACGTTGATTTTTTATGCATGTCACATGACTTTATTCAAATCACATTCAATAATTATCAATCTTTGTTACACAAGGACCGTGGAATATTAGTAATTCGGGGGCTCGTATACATACATGCACATAATCCGTAGAAAACCATGGATTACGAATTGAAAACGAATTGTACACAATGTACTAATTTCTTCATGCAAACAAGCTGAACAGGCAACCTTTGCGGTTTTCAAAAACTTTTGCCGTTAAAATTAAAAATTTTTGAATTTCGACAGGCTAAAAATTGCGTAAAACACCATCAAATTTATTTGCGATTGCTTTGTTGACTATATAAGTATCACAAGATTCAGAATATGTAAACTTTTATTTTGTGTTAAGGGAACTTTTATACGGCATATCCTTCATTAGCCCGCCCCCCAACTATTGACCTTCTTAGGTCCCTAGTAGGGGCGTAACTGTTGGGGTGTGTGGGGGGTGTGACACCCCCCCAATTGCTGAAAACAGTGTTTTTGCAGGGCATATTGCCGTCAAGTGGCAGGGCAGTGTTCAGGAAGTAGAAAAATTGCCATACGGCCCATACCATCGAAAACAACTAAATGATTACTAAGTGGAAATAACAAACCTTCATTTTTGACAATTTTGGCTTAATTCTACAGGCTGAAACAGCGTGGTTACTAAGCTAGTAGCGTAGTTGCGTCAGCTAGTCGCTTTGAAAGTTCAACATGTTGAACTTTTGACATTGGTCGCTTCAGTCGCTTTACACTGATTGGCCAATAGATACATTTTAACTTCCTAAATGCATATCATATTCCCTGTCATATGCATCATACGAAATTTATAGATTATACCTTGGAAAACGAAGGCAATATATAGTGAATTCACACTGGAATCTTTCAGTTTTTATATGACTTATCAAATAGGGACAATTGGAGCTACAAACTGGAACCCTAATGCACAACCTAAATGCACAGAATAAGATTATCCACGATATACGCGTAATGGGCTATGATCATATTGGCGTGTTTTAACTGTCTTGTTCTCTTTTCTCCACATAGTAGTTTGTACTGAGTAAATATTCATATATTAGTAGCTATAATAAAGGCCCAAATGTGATGTCTGTGTCTGTAACAAACAGAAATCTTCGCCATGTTCAATAGACGCCACGGTAAATGTCGCGATGGTCGCTGCATGTGTGTTTCTGTGATATACAGTTATCTGTAATATCTCTATTTGTTGGTGTAAGTCAATATATACTAAAGAAGACAGATGGCTACATCACAAAATCTAACAGATACAATGATTGCAAATGTAAAAACATGCTAATGCTAATTTTTGCACTGTCGAGAGCCGTGAAGCAAGCTTCAATCCAATAATTTCATCAAATTCTATGCGGTTTTGTATATTTGGGCGAGAAAGACTATGTTGAGGCATGCTTATAAACCACAAAAACATGTTAAGGAAATAGTATGTGCGTAGTTTAGTTTATCAATGTATCCGTTCCCACACGGCTAAGAGCCAAGGAACAGTTATTGACGTTAGTTAAATTTCCTTATGTACCGTATATAGCTTAGAGGAACTACTCCGACCAATAATAATATTTGTTGTTTGTAATAAAGAGTATAAATACTGCTCTGTAAAATAATAAAAATCACTTCGATCATTAAGTTCACTCGTGGTCGTTACTGAAGGTATAGAGTATACTAAGAAAGAGATATGGCGAGTAACTCGAACACAACAGAATACTTTTCAATGGAAGGTTAGTTATATTTACCGAAGTTTGTAAACCCACAATTACCGAAGGAGAGTTGTGAGTTCATTGTATGCTGTCATAATTTTGATGTTTATTCAGATACATTTCTAATTTAATTGAAATTTCTCTTAAGAGGGAGGCGCAACTAGAATTAAAGATGATAACGTTCAGGAGCCCAGCGCAAAAAAAACAAAACCTCAACGTACACGAATTTATAGACGAAAGGTTAAATGTAAAGATTGTGGTGCAGAAATGAATGCTGATAATTTTTTGAAGCACAGTTCAAATAAACACAATGGTATGGCAAAATCCCAAGATGTTGTAGAAGCATCACAAACAACGCTTCATTTTTCTAAGGTTAGTAAAATGTCACTTACTTATATATGTACATAGTAAATAAAATGAAAGTTTTTAGCATGCCTTATAGATATCTTAGAAAATTGCTGGTTAGTTCTGTATAAGTGCCGTTCAATTTATGTGAAATAATTGATAATTCGTGTTGCACAAAACTTTGTTATTCTGCTCTGTTGCAGCAGCAACTATCTCTGTTATTGTGAAGGACACTCATACCATAAAGTTTCAATGTATTCTTATTTATTTTAGATCCTTCCAACTGCCCCTGTTACATGTGATAGCAGTGATGAAATGCATGAAGGAGAAGTCAAAAGTGTAAAACAAAAATTCTGCAATGATACTGATATATCACAAAAGGTTACATTAAAAAACTCTCATGATTTGTAAAACTGTAATAGCACATTTGCACACATATACCCTAACCCTAACCGTACATCCTGTGTTTTCAGGCAATGTATCGTTTTCTAACGTTAAATACTGTTTGTTAAAAATGCTACCTTGCAGAAAAACCTTGAAGTGGCATTAGAAGTACACAATGTATGCGAGGAAATATTTGAAATAGATAACAAGATAAATGAAAGATCATTCAGCAAAATGAAAATTGTCAAGAACTATTTGCGCTCAACAATGAAAGGTGAAAGGCTGGAAGAACTCATTGTCCTCTCAACCGAGAAGGATTTAACAGATACAATTCATCTGGATGTAGTACTAAAATCTTGGGCAGCCAGAAAAAACCGTAAACTCAGAATAAAATTTAAGTAAAAAGCAGCTTCTCAAGAGTACGTTGAGATGATTCTCACTTAAGACTCTTGATATGAGAACAAATATACATTGTTTTACTGTTATGTCCGAAACGGTTAAGGTTTATATTTGAAAAACATATTTTGTTATAATGTATGTGTTAGAAACCTAATCTTCAATAATGTTTACTAATAAACAACGTATGCAATAATAGAAATGATTATAATTTGCTAGCCATAATGATTTAAGGGGTTTTTGTGGGCAACGCCCTTTTGCAGGGCAAATTTTTTCCACACCCCCCCCACTACTTCAAGTCTAGTTACGCCCCTGGTCCCTACTTTATGAGTGTGAAATTGGGTTTGTCTTAAACCTAAACTATAATTACAGCCTCAGCTATTAAAATTAAATTGACTATTACCAATTCTGCGATGTAAATAGAAGCTATGTTAATTTTCGCTCTATTGAGCATCGGCACTTTAACGTACTCCTCCGACATGTTAACATTGCATAACGTCACTTGCTAACACTCTCATATGACATGTCTTTCAAATATCATGTGACATGATCTTGTGAACCCTGATATACCTTACGTATATTACCTAGCGGCTTCGAAAAACATGTTTACTTTTGTTAACATATATTATAGGTACAAGCGTTTATTTATTTTGTTTTTAAGACGTACTTAGTCACTATAGGTTTGTTTATTTATCAAAGTTATTTCATCGTACAGCGCTTTTCAATCAAAAATGTAAACTTTAACATCCCTGGCTCACTCGTGGCCAACTACTCCAGAAACAGTAACTCCACTCTGTGCACTCTGTTAGTGACTAAACTATTTCACAATCCATAGTCCAGTCCACGTTTTTACAAGCCCGTGTGTGACAAAATGTCCAAAAAATAGTCAAGTGCAAATAATCACGCGCGCGTGATTGCATTTAACTTTTATAATATGTATATAGTTTCTCAAAACGTAATTTCATTGCAAGGCGTGCTTTTCGCATAAATATAGAGTGCTGCACGTTGCTACTTCCATCGTTGTTTTCAACATCTACAACTAAAAAAGTAGTACTCACAACATGTCATGGAATGTTTACAAAATACCAGCGTGAATGCCGCGTGAAATTGTGAATGTCGCGGTTTTTAGTTGTTTTGAGACTCCCTGTGGTTTGCAGTTTTTAATAAATTGCAGAAAACTTAGTCAGCCAGTTTATAGTAAGCATAGAAAAGGTGAACGCATAAGCTTGATAGCTCACCTTAATATTGATCATCTTAAATATGTCAATTCGTAATGTACTGAAACCAGAGGTAGAAGAAGCATTAACCAACTTGTTTGCCAAAGAATATTTAGAGAAAGCGGCTAGCTTCGTTCCAAGACCTAGTGATGTCTTCATTAATTGTCCACCAAAATGAGGCACGACATGGGTGTCACAAATTGTTCATCAGTTGAGAAGCGGAGGAGACACGAGTTTTAATGATATAGACGAAGTTGTGGTATACCTTGATCTTATCTATGGTGTCGATCCAAATTTTGATCTAAATTATGAACAAAAGTTTCAACCTAGATGTTTTAAAAGCCATTTTTCTTATGATAACATTCCTAAAGGCGCAAAGTATGTCCTCGTTTATCGGGAGCCATGTGCAGTTGTCGAGAGTCATTATCGTTTTAATGAAAAGTTTCTTTTTGAGCCTGGGGAAATCACGATGGAAGATCATATTGAACGTTTTTATTCTGGAAGAGAATATTACCATTACCTTCAACATTTAAGCAGGTGGTGGCCAATGGTGGCCAAAGCGTAACGATCCGAGCGTTTTGATGCTGACTTATGAAGATTTGTGCGAAGATTTGGAAAGTTCCGTTACCTCGATTGCTGCTTTCTTGGAAATCAAAGATGAAGAAAACATAAAAACTGCGTTGAAGATGAGCTCTTTTGACTTCATGAAGGCAAATGCGGAAAAATTTGAAGATTTTATGTTGCGTGACCTATTTCATCGAGTTGGTTTTCGAAGCTCAGCACGCCTAAAACGTGTTGCATTGGGACCATCGAACAAAGAACGAAATAAAATGAGTGAAAATGCCATAAAAGCCATACAAGAAATGTGGAATAAATTTGTTTTACCAGCAACTGGTTTTGAAAACTACGAACAGTTTCGATATGTTTTAAGAAACAAAAAATATTAATTCATGTGAAGTTATATCATTTAATCAATTTAAATTGCATTGTATTACATATTAAAGCTAGCATATAACCAACATAACACAAAAAGACAACATAAAACTGTATATGGTACGTTTTGTTTTATAGATGTAGGTCAAAGTTTGCTCAAAACGTAGCATAACATTACAACGTAACATTTTAATTATATAATAATCAAATTAGATTATATTTAGTTACACAGGATCAATTACAATGTCAAATGAAAATGTCCTATCTTCTTATTTTTGCGAATAATTTAATGCGAAATTCGACAATGTCGTCTAGGCAGGATTTTTACGGTTTTATAGAAACGGTTTGATAAAATTTTGAGCATACGTTGTTCTTAGGGACTGTCTACATGAGCCCTAAGGAAAGGGCTAGCCCTCCTTGTAGGACTAACTTTTACCTCTGTTTTACATGCAAAGTTTAGCAAATTCTTACACATATCTTAACGACTTTGAAGAATTTAACATTCGACACCTGTTATTTTGTTCTTGTCGGAAGTGTGTTATTGTCGGAAGTATGTCGTAAGCCTCTAGCAACCAATGGTCTCGCCATATTTCACAATGACAGCGATAAAGCATCGCAGAAATATCCACGGAATCATCCTTATTTGGCGATTTTGGTCGAAAATTGTACAATTTTGGTTACCTTTCAAGTCTGGGTATTTTTTTGGCTAACGCTCTGCCTTGAAGGAGAAAAAGAACCAGAACTGTCAACCAGCTGTTGCTTGTGCTCGTTTTAAACGATTTACTCTTCTTAGCGAAACGATGATTAATGAAACAAGGCCATATCCTTTACCCAAAGATGTAAAAATTGTCGTTCTTTTACTTCGCATGTTTTGGTAGATTTTCAATCAAAGTACAATCTAAAGGCAGAAATATGTTAGTGACGACTTTTCCAAAAAATTTAGATACCTCCATTTCGCATGCTTCACCTGAGGAGAGCAACAACCGCCATAAATTTCCCTTCATTGTTGAAATGTTGAGTCAATGTTTGGTGTTTAATAATCAATATTTAACTTTTGGCACGAAAATTCCAAACAATGCACGAATGTTTACAAGGATTGTTGCAATATTGAATGAATACACAGTTGAAAATCTTCACTCAGTTTTAAAATGAAGAATCAAGAACACTGATTCTACAGATCATATAGCATTTCAAGTTAAAAACATGGATACTCGTAAGCACATATTGCAACCCTTTCAGTCATTGTTGGAACCATTTTGGAAGTTTGCCTTTATCTGGAAAATTGCTTTCATCAGGTGAAGCATGCCAAATGAAGGTATCTACATGTATTTGGAAAAAGTCGTGACTAACCTATTGCTGCCTTTAGATTTTACTTGGGAAGAAAATCCACCAAAACATACAAGGTAAAAGAGCGACTATTTTTACATCCGTGGGTAAGGAATATGGCCTTGTTTCATTAATCAGCAGCTTGTACGTTAAGGTTACAAATTCTAAATATCTTGTCTTCTACCACTTGAAATATCTTTTCAACCTAATATCTTATTTTGCACAAGTGCACACTTAGAATAGTACATGAATTTTGATTGTCAGCTTTAGAATAGGAAGTTATTGCGTGTTGTCAAACTTCTGATGGTACGATTCATTAAACCCAACTTGCTTGATCAGAAAACTTATACTAATTGGCAATAAACCCAGTAGAAATGTAATAAAGCTGGTTTCTTGTGTTGCTCAGCAAGAAACATTATGTTTAAATCATCAAATTCAGTCAAAGAATATAGGATTAACCTGTTTAAAACAAACGTGGGGTGTTTAAAAGACTTTTGCATGTTGTTGAGTCGTTCATTTCATGTAAAATATCAATATCTCCTTCCAGCCTTGGGCATATGCAAGTGCAAGATTTGTCAAACACCTGTGACCTGTCAGCTACAATCAAGTATTTGTAATATTTGTAAAAAGCAGCATATCTTTTAAAGCTGACCGTCTTAACCAAGGCAGAGTTATATTCAACCTTATATAAAGATGAGGAGAATCAGCAAAATAAAGATGATAAACACTTGAACAAACAGATTGAATGACCTAAGTCAAACCAGAAAATCACTTAACTAGCTAAATAGTTTAAACTAACAAAACTCTCCTATTTCCATCGTAACAGACCGCATGCCATAAACTTTACATCAATAATTCAAAATAATAATTATACATACTACTAAAAAGTACGATAATTTTCTTACATGAATCTATGTTAGCTTTTAAAAAACACGACAAATATCCAGAAAAATTTGCGTGAACTTTTCAACTTGTTTGTATATTTTTCTGTTTGAATGCTGGTTATCTCATAATAATAGACTACATCAAGCTTGGTCAGTGCGTACGGATATTATACACGAGTTGATAAGAATTAAAACAAGAAAAAAAAATATCTCTGTGAGACCTACGTAACGAGAGAAAAGAAAAGATCTCTGTGTGACCTACGTAACGAGAGAAAAGAGAATATCTTTGTGTGAACAACGTAACGAGAGAAAAGAGAATATCTCTGTCTGACCTACATAACGAGAGAAAAGAGAATATCTTTGAGTGACCTACGTAACGAGAGAAAAGAGAATATCTTTGAGTGACCTACGTAACGAGAGAAAAGAGAAGATCTCTGTGTGACCTACGTAAAAGAGAAAAGAGAATATCTTCGTGTGACCTACGTAACGAGAGAAATAAGAATACATCTGATTGATTTACGTAACGAGAGAAAAGAGAATATCTTTGTGTGAACAACGTAACAAGAGAAAAGAGAATATCTTCGTGTGACCTACTAACAAAAGAAAAAAGATCATCTCCGTTTGACCTACGTAACGAGAGAAATAAGAATACATCTGATTGATTTACGTAACGAGAGAAAAGAGAATATCTTTGTGTGATCTTCGTAACGAGAGAAAAGATAATAAATCTGTCTGACGTACGTAATGAGAAAAAAGTGAATATCTCTGTGTGACCTAAGTAACAAGAGAAAAGAGAATAATTCTGTGTGACCTACATAACAAGAGAAAAGAGAATATCGTTGTGTGCCCTACGTAACGACAAAAAAGAGAGTGTTTCTATGTGACATACGTCACGAGAGTAAAGAAAAGATCTCTGTGTGACCTACGTAACGAAATACAAGAGAATATCTTTGACTGACCTACTTAACGAGAGAAAAGAGAATATCTTTGTGCGAGATAAAAGACAAAAGAAAAGACAATATCTCCACGTACGACAAAGGTTCAAGAAAATATAAAGCTTACCCTTTGTTTATTCTCTTCTACGTCGTTTGGAAAGGCTCTGCTTGCTTCATCTTAAATTGTTGAGTCGTTTATTACTTCGTTTTAATGTCAATCGTGTCATAAACATAAGATTGCCAGGTGAAAGATGATGGTAACTAATTGCGACATTTCATCTTATAACAGGCAAGGTCTAAATAAACATATCGACGATAATTTTTTGCGTTATGCATGTCGTCATGCTTGCAAATAATCTTAAAAACTGGAGAACTTTTTGCGTACTAAAGTGAATGGTTTGAACCCAAATTTACCTCAATAATTAACTTCTGTACTTGTCCCGAAGTTGCCCCTAAATTAAAACATAGAAAATTGAATTAATTTGGAGATTTAAGTCAAAGGAATTACAAAAAAGAAGGTGGTAGCGGACAATTTGAATAGAAAATCCTACTGTTGAAAGAAGGTAGTAGCTAAATAGTGCAAAGGTCGAATGTCTAACAAATTTTAAACTGGTGAGTCTTGTTTTCCAAAAATTTACATAGACAGCATTCAAACAATAAAAAAATACTTTTGCCAGCAGGTGAAGGCAACATTGCAAATCAATAATGGAAACTATTTAGGACAAATTGCAAAATTGGCTAACTGGAAATATTTCACTTAATTGTTATTCTCGGGAAAGTAACCTTTCATATCTTATAAGTGTCCAAGAAAATTATGTCCTCCGAGTCACGTGAAAAATCAATCTCCATAGAGATAGTATGTAGATTAGAAATGTTTTTGATGATGTCATCACTAATCCACGTTCCATAGGTGACTCAAATGAGCTCATGAGTTGAAGTTGTGAATGCATGTCGCGTAAATACATAAATTAAATTTACTTTTCTATTTTTGTTCATCGGTCATTTTCAATGTTATGCAAAACTTTAAATAGCTGGAAATTAGCTCTTAAAATATATTGCATATATAAATCTGTATCAATTTATATGCAGATGTACCCTTGTTTCTGAGAAGCTTTTGTGATCTAAGGCGCTATAACACACAGTTTGAACAAACTTTAAAACCATAATGATCAAATCGTTTGATATCTTAGGCCTTCTAAAGCAGTCCTAATGGTGTGGTGATCAATGTTTTCTGCAATCTTCTCTAGCATCTTAATCTCTACAATGCCATGAAGAAATTAATATGTAATTACAACCATTGATGGCATAAATGTGCTGTACCTTTTGTCAGATTTTTATTAATTCCCTATTTTCGGTCTCTCCTCCACTGTTCTTTTGGTTTTCTTAACCTGACTGTGCAAGAGTAATTTCAAGGTTAGGTACTTTAAATTTTCAGCGGCAAACAAAGTTGAAAAAGTCATTATTTAAAGGCAGCAATGCCTGCATTAGTACTACCAAGTAAACTTCAAAACTCTTAAAAATCAACAATATATAAATTAATATGAAAATACAAATAGTCTTATAGGCAACGAGTCCACAGTGCAAATGGTGCAAATACCATAAATTATCCATGTCTTTCATCCAGAATGCACCAAGCACCATCAGCACGAGTTTATAAATATGTAAAAAGATAACTTTGCTGCATATCTTTCCTACCAAAGTTTAGTTCATGCAAAAAACATACAGTAAATGGTTCACGACCATTCTTAAATTTTGAAGAATGAAAACAAAAATCATGACAATCAATGTATGTATTTTATTTTAACCGAATCAAAACAAACTAACCTTTATGTTCAACTAATGGCAACAAACATTCCAGATTTGATAGTACTTTTAAATAACCGTGTTTACCTCCGCTATCCGTGAGGACAGGGTTGCGAGATGGAATAAACTGAATTATGCTAAAATTTCAACAAAAATAAGCCGTTTTCTGCCAAATTCTCTGACACCGGAAGTTAGAGCAAAAAAATTGACTTTTAAGGCATGGTAACGAGCAGGAAAATAAAAATGCAAGCTACTAGATTAGATCAATCAGAATGCAAGACCATTTAATGGTTTAATGTTTAAAGTTCAATCGAAATTTGAAATGGAACATGAAAAAATTTGTAAATATTCGTTTGAAAAATTGATTGCTTAGCTTTGGCACTAATTTTATGTAGCCTTTGCAAATTATTTGAGAGCTTTTTCTACACTAGGGTCTTTTGGCCCACTCCGCTTTTAGATTCCTTTTTTCTCGCATATCTTCACTTCTGTTGGTGGCATATTATATACGTGTTTATCATATGCAGCATTGAACACAGAAAAATTTGAAATTCAAATCAGTCAATTCATTTGAAATTCGAGTCAGTTTTTATCTAGAAAAGTTTGAGACAAAAAATGAAGTAATATGTATTTTCCATCCATTGGATAGCAAGTTTTTTTAAGCTTTTATAAAGCCTTTTAAAAAGCAAAAAGTATAAGATTTGAACTGAACAATCACTGAAATAAAATATTGTGTCGAAGATTACAAAATTTCTTTGTGTTAAGAAAAATATAAGCACCTTTTTTACAAGTTTGAAGATTATTGCTATCCAATGGATAACGCTATCCAGGCTTCGTAGATACATTATATATGTATCTACAAATAAAATACATAATAAACCAGAAATATATTAATATGCAGCATGATAGTAAATCATTGCAAATTAGGTAGCATAGGTGGTCGGAATGTGATATCACGGCCATCATGATGGTTTTTAAGAACAAAAGAGTATTTTATCAACACTATTGTGAGCACCAGCCGTCTTGGGTAAGCCGCATTATTTGATAATTATGTGGAGGTTGGTTGCATTTCAAGAATAATCGTGCCAGTTTCAGGATACTCAATAATTGCAAATATCTATGTGATGAAAGAATGTACGAACATATTTCGCTTTGTAAGAAGTTTTTAACGGTTGGGAGATCTTTTCAAAATAGGATATCTATAATGTTTTTGAATTAATGCGTTACGACGAGATAAAGGAAAATAAACAAACTTGATGCTAACAATAACTCTGCGACCATCTTTATTTGCATATACATTGTGCATCAAAAATACTCGAATCCAACCTTGTTTGACTACCTACAGCATACTTGCATGAGTAAAGCCACGGATCAGACACCTTGACAGAAGTTCCACTCGTGTCGGAACCTTTGATGTTCTTGTCCCCCACTTCTCTGCAGCAAATTCTAAGGAGACACGCCTTCCAGCAAGATACTTCCGCTAGATCGCAATAGAAAATATACAAGTTTTTACAAATATATCGTTTTGTGCTACAAAAGCTTGGAACCTTATCGCCTTCGCAAGATGATCACATTTTGTAAAAATTTCGTCAAACTTTTGCTTTAAACGTGAATTATTAAAAAAATAGCATTCTCGTGTGGTACTATTCCATATTGATTTTGTGTAAGTATCTTGCTGGGAAGTCACACATGCGCAGTGAAAAACTATGCCACGATTTTAGCCGAATGGACTTTCGGTTAGATGTCTATTCTGCGGTGAAGCATGTAATTTTTACATGGTGATGAAGAATAACCTACTAGACGATTCTATCCAAATTAACCATGTAGTCGTCTGCTGCTTGAAATAAATTTTTTCCGCTGATGGGAATTTGAAGTGAGACGTTAAGATAAAAGATAACGCAAATTTAGCATTTAAGTTAAATAATAAAATTCACATAATTTTGTTAGGATTTAGACTTGCTCTAGTCTGGTCAAACCTTCGCACGTTGAACCAGTTTACCAGATGATCCTGAGGGCGAAAGTTTTTCGTTCCGGAAATCTTTGTCTGAACTGATTGCGTGTTTTTCATAAGCTACGGATTCAAAAAACGATTTCGCAAGAAATGTGCCTGAATTCTGCCATGTTTAATTGCAACGGCAAATGAAACTACCTCGTTTGTAAAGCATACAATAAGAAGTTAAGTTTGTTTCTATTTAGTTTGCAGTAATGATTGGCATTTAAAAGCCTTGTAGGACTAAAGTTGAAAGAAGAAAAATGCAATTCCTATTGGCGGAAAATTGTTACTTTTATTAAATTTATTTTTTCAAAGAAATACACCTTCATTTTGCAACTGAAAGATTCGTACAACATGTCATATAAATGGACCAAAATGTCACATAAATGGACAACATGTCATATAAATGGACCAAAGGTGCAAAAACCAAATGTCTTTTTTAAATATATTCAGCGTTATTGAGCCCCAAATTTGAATTCTCATTTTTTTTATACACCCTATATTTTACGCGTGCTGTTAAAAATTTGGAAAATATTGGAATTTACTAAACAATTTCAAAAAACTATAAAATGCGCAAAGTTTTAACCAATGAACTTCTCTAGATGAATAAACAAAGATGAAATTAAGAGTTTCGAGTGTTTTTTTTTGACAATATGCAAAAAAACTGTATTGTTTCAAGTTTATATATGAAATATACCTGGTGTTTCACGTTGCATCATTTTGCAAAAAAGTTCTGTAGCTTCGCCATTTGATTTGACTCTCAATAGCTAGAATGGCACGACCTCATCTGACCAAGAACTCCTTTGCAATGAGAAATTTAGTTTTGACCTGATCATTAGTCAATTACATTCAAGGAATAAAAGAATCAAAGTAATGAAATATAAAGTGAAAGGTAACCAATAAAGCAGTTTATTTCACATGAGCCTTTGATTCGTCGACAAGGAAAGAGAGAACGATCTCCGTGATTTTGATATCAACTTTAAGGTGTGACAAATCAAATTTGAGGTATTTAAGTCGGTGGGTAGATGCTTTAAAACAAGCTTACTAATATATACTTGCGCTCTCCAATAGCCAAATAGTCTCAAAAATCAATTTATTAGCCAAATATTTATGTTCGACATTAAAAATCGTATATCAGTAGGATCTGTTGAGAGAGAGAGAGATATGAGCTAACTAAGAGGCTAGAAGGATTGAATACGATATATTCCTACATAAATATAATGTGCTGTATACTGGAAAGGGTACAGGTATGGACCTGAAGTAACCGGAGCTCTTACCCATGTCAATTAGTTTCCAGTCTATGAAAGTTAGTCAGGCGCGCGCGTGTCAACCATGGTGTCAACTACACACAAGCCGAAACCCAAATCAATTACTTCAAGCTACCTTACATTGGCCACTACTCACACATCACAAAACGAAAACTACATAACTTAGTCAGACGCTACTGTAAAAACTTTGACATAAAACTAGTATTCTCGTCTTTTAAAATCAAAAACTTCTTCCTCTTCAAAGACCCTATCCCTTTCCTCTTGAAATCCAATGTGGTTTACCAGTATCTTGTGCAGGATGTAATTCTCGCTACATTGGCGAAACCAGCCGCCACCTCTCCACACGGATTAAAGAGCATACCACGTCCGATAAAAACTGTCACAACGCCTCCTCTCATCACCTCACTTCAAATCTAAATACTCACAATCCTGCTTTCGTATATTAGACAGTGCCCACACTCCTTCTTCTTTAAAACTAAAGAAGCACTGCACATCAAAAAACTTAAGCCTAATCTTAACAAACAAATTCAGCATGTCAATACTATCTTCAACTTGTAAAAACTTAACACCTGTTATCACTACATAATTGTAAATAACTTCCGCTTCCATCCATTTTGTCTATACACATGTCTTGTATCAGATTTCTTTATATATTAACTCCATTCAAATATTCATTTATTATACCGCACTGAAGATGGCATAGGTTTGCCGAAACATGTTTGCAATAAAAAATTTACAAAAAGTTGTCGTTTACGTTAAATGCATCAAAAAGAAGAAATGTTTTAATGATTGACATTGAACTAGCAAAGAAATTTAAGGGTACATTTCACATTGACAAAGAGTACGAGGCTATAGGGGAACGTTTTAAAATTATGCTAGATAGATTTTTTAAGTGCTATGCCAAAGAAATAGGGCGCATAATATCTAGCCTTTGTTAGTGAAATCATTTCTCAAGTAAATCCCAGATGCTCAACATGCGGAGTAGTGTTAAGCAGCTTTAAACTATACATTTATCACAAAAAAGAATAGTTTCAAAAAACCGTAAGTGTTCATACCAGTATCTAACTGACTATGAATACTCTGAAAAAAATAAAAGTTACCACGTTGCAAAATTGTAAGTGGGCGTGTAAATAAAGAAATACATACAGCATCAAATCTCCGAGAAACTTAGAACTATAAGTCAACAACATTCAATGGATAAACATGTCGTTAAAAATATCATCAGTAATTTCCCCATGTTTCAGTGTGTCATGGTTATAACGTACGCCAAATTGCGAGCCGCTATAGATCACTGGCTAAAAGCCCAAAAATATTAAAAATCGTAAAATTATTAACTAGTTCTGCTTGATGAAAGATTGCCAAAAACCGAATCATCAACAGCATGCATTTCTCTTTTGAACAAAAAAAAAACACAATAAACTTGTCCCAACTTACATATGACCTGAATAGAATTCATTCTCCTGCATATTTAAAAGAGAGAAATCATGAATTTTTAGCCTTTCTAGTTGCACATTCGAACCCACACAACCGTCACAACCTATACATTCACGATTAGAAGCCATCTACATAACCTTGAACGATCAGTGCGTTGAAGCCGTTCTTTTGAACATTCACCAAAATTTGATTTAAGGAGGCTAGAAATTTCACTCTTCTCCAGACGACTTATCGGAACACGCGTAACGGCGATGCTCAACACGAACGTTGAGGAGCTGCTCGGAAGCTGCTTCAATTGCTTCTTCGACCATAAAAGTCGGCTTCATCACTAAGGAGTCTGAGGAATAGACAAAGGTTCGTTTTTTTCAACTAAACCAATGGTCTGATAAAAACGTGCCAAGGCCTAATACTGCTCAACTGTGGTTATCCTTGGCCCTGGCCTCAATTATTTTCGTATTGATGGAAATCTTCCATTCGAGAAGTCATGG